GGGCTAGACTGAGCAGCCACCCTGCCGAGGGCAAGGCAAAACCACATATACTCAGAGCTCATGCATTTCCAAGCTCTCAAGACTTCCCACCACTCCTACGCATGTATTGCTGACTATGGACTTTTTTCCGTTCTTTTTTTTGTTCTTTTTTTTTTCAGGAAGAATAAACTTACTAGGTCTGCATTAGTTTGGAAGCAGCCTTCAAAATGTAGCATGATTCAAGTCACATCACAGGCCGTTGCACCTTGCCTGTCTTAGGGGAGGGATAGTTGTGTCGCAGCTGGAGTCAGGATTTTTCCTCCAGTTGCTCTCAGACTCCTTTTGCTTCCCTGGTAGCCACAAGGCTTAGTTTGCTCCTTCTCAACTTCTCTTGGTGGACTCCAGTCATCTCACCCAACTTTTGACATCTAAGTCTGTACCAATCACTTCACGCAATGGGGAGATGTAGGTAACTCCAGAGGACAGTGCATCTGGCCTGCCCTAAGATACCATGCACTAGCCTCTGAGGCTGCCTGCTCCTTCCCGTCTGCTCGGAAGGACACTTTGGCCATCAGCTCAACTTTTCCTGCCATTACAACAAGTGATTTATGCTTCCAAGAGACCATCTCTTTTGCTGGAGGCAGTTCATCCTGCTAACTCATGAAGTTGCAGAGGGTGAGCCTCTGTGCTCCCTTCTCCCCTTGCCAAGGTCCACCCAGCTGTCAGTGCTTCTGCCTTTTGATCGGGGTCTGTCATTTATTGACAAATGCAGGTAATTTTTAAGTGCTCATGGTTCATGGCCAAAAGAAGCAAAGAGCAAATGCCCGAGGCTGCAAGTACCACAGCCCTGGGGTGGAGATCGAATTGCAGGAGAGCCTCCAAGCTGGAGAAAGACCTCTTTCAGCTGCATGCCTTCGTGCCTTATTTCACAATAAACATCACGTTTTCTCCTCTGTACGGGACCTGTGATGGCAGGTTCACCCCAAGACCTCCTCTCTCATGCATGCTGGACTAAGATCTCTTAGGGCTGTGTATTTCTACCTTGCAGCTAGTCCTGCTTTGTGGTGGGTGGAAGTCCTTTGCTCCCTAAGTCTCTCTAGAGATGTGAGGGAAATGGGCTTGGCATTTCCTGATCTTCTTATATTAATGGCCACATTAAAAAAATAATTGCCTGCTGATAGGAATTGTGTTAATACTCTCAGGAGAGAGACAAACGAAAGGAAAGGCTGTGAAAACAGAACCATCCTTTTATTGCTGCGGAGTACTGCATAGATACCATGAGGATAGGTGCTAGATTACTTTTATTACTGTGGAATAGCCTTTGGATATCACTCATGCTGGTGCTATGTACATGCAGAAAACAATTTGAAAGATAACAGGTAAGAGGGAGATTGTGAGCTGCTGGCGTCCCCATCACAACCCCAATCCCTTGCCTTCTCCCCGAGGGGAACAGGACCCACAGGATTTCAATCTCAAAGGCAACTTTTATTCTGGGGGGAAATACTGAGCTGCCAGAGCTTCCCTGAACACGGTGATGCAGTTTTCACTCATGAGGCATTTAGCAGTGCTGTTTGATAGCAATGGGCTGTATTTCAAGGCTTGATTTTTCAAATGACACTTGCCCAGGGAATGATTTTTCCTGTAAGGTGGGCAGGGTCAGCCCTGCAAAACTGCAAATCCCAGCCCCAGCTCCAGGATAAACTCATGTTTCAAAACCACATTGTGGCTTACGTGTTTTTGTAGTCTAGGGGGCAGAAATATTTACTTACAGAGATAACAGTGAAGACTGTGTTCACCACTCCAACACCAATGGTTGCGTAAACTGGTTGGTCAACTCCAGCTCTCTCAAAAATGTTTGTAGAGTAGTAAAATATCTATCAAAATACATTAGGATGAAGGATTAGGCAACAGGGCTGGTGGAACTTTTTGTTCTCTTGAGGGAAGAGTTGCACTTGCTTGGCTGAGATGTGAAGTAATTTAATTATGATTAGTTTTTCAACTTTTAATGGCTTGTTATAATAATTAAAGCTGAAACTTTCAAAGGAGCCCGAGGGAGTTAAAAATCCCATTGAAATTCCCCTCCTGAGCTACTGCATTTGCACATTTAAAACTGTTTTCTTCCATGTAGTCCCGTGTTTAATCTTGAAAACCAGATCACCAGCACTGAGCGCTGGAGACAAATACCTTAATATGACCGAGTTTTACATGAATTTTAAAATATTCTTGCTATGCTGGAATGACTCAAATTTCTCCCTTCTCTCCAAGAATAAGGCAATTCCTACCTGGTGGAAGTTAAGGGCAGGAGGTAAATGGGTGGCTGACCCCGTGGCTGGTGGATGGGGCTGGGCATGGCCTCGAGCCACGGCAGCTGGGCTCCATGGGGCTGCTCATCCCCAGCTCAGCCCAACGAGGCTGGGCATCCCCGCGTGCTGCTCCACCTTGCAATGCAGAAATGCTCTTAGAGTTTTGAAAGCCGGTGGGACAAAGGCCTCAACCTTTGTAAAGTTGCCACCAGACTTTCAAGAATTTGAGTCTTAGCCGATTTTGAAAAGGAAGCTCTATGGTCCTGGGTGTAAATGGTGATTTCTGGTATCCCAGGAGGTGATGCAAAAACTGTTTAGCGAAAAATAGCTAGAAGATAGTGATTCTGTGGTTCCTGGGGTGAGCATGTAGTGATTAAAGAGAACAAACTGCTGACGAACTCAGGTAGGCGGAGGGTCACGGGAGAGCTCAGCATGGACCCACCGTACCAGCTGGTTTTGTGCTGAACTCCCTCGCACCCTTCTCCGCTCCTGCCCTCCCGCAGCCCGGCTTGGTGGTGAGGTCCACCTTCAATACCAATGACGGTGGCCTAGGAGCCTACTGCACTCACGGGAAAGCCTTCTCTTCACCTCTGCATGGCTTGGACAGAGCCAGCATTGCCTTTTCATGGTCAGTGTGGATTTCTTTAAAGACAAATGTTTTTGGGAGACTCACCGCGTTGATTCCTGAGAACTGTTGAGATACTTGCACCATCAGCGCCACGATGACAGCCTGCCTGTACTTTGAAGAGGTGAAAAGCTGTCTTATGGAGACTTTCTTTTCACTAGCAGCTTCTTGCTTTTCCTTTTCCATCTCAGCAATCTCTTTCATCGGGTCACAGTTTCCTCTGAGCCTTTTCAAACCTTAAGAAAAAAAAGATTGACATTTTATTTTCAATGGTAGATAAGGAGTAGAGTAAGGACAAGAATCTCTCTAGCCAAAACTCAGGGTAAGCCAACCACATGGACAGTAGTGTCCTCTTGCTCTGAGAACTCCTATGGCACATCAAGGATCAAAGGTGTGTCTGCTTGGCAAGGGGCAGCAGCACATTAGTTCTACGAAAGCTCTGAGACACCACGCTCAAGCCTCATCCCTCAGCAATGCTTATTAGTCCCATGCAAACATATCTCAATAGTTTCTGGTCCAGAGCTAATTTATACTTCAGCAGCTCAGAGCATGGGCATGCAACTCTGCCCCCAAGCATGTGGACGTACTCTGTTTTACTCGATCCTGGGTTCTCACCTCAGTTTCAGCTGTGTCCTATCATTGACTGCTCTTACTCCTTGTAGAGACGGCTGGAACCAGCTAAGGAGGGCCACGCTGGAAGATGTATAAGCGGTTGCAGTAACTGCTATGGGTTTGCTGTGTAGTTGCAAATAGCACCACGGATAGAGAGGTCAGCTGTCTCCCAGAAGATGTCATTTTTACACCTGGTTGAAATTCCTTCCAACTGAATGGGCTTTTGGGGGTGGCATCTGCTAGATGCAATCTCTCTGATGGAAAGGAGTAACATGCTAAGGCTCACACCACCCGCAACAACGTAGAAGCAAGCATGCCTTAGGCAGTGACTATATGCAGGTGTCCAAAATCCCTCGTGCAAATGTGCTGCGTGGGATGGAGCAACTATACCCAGTTACATGTGTGAGCCCTCAGCCGGGCTTTTCCTTCTGTGTTTAATACTATGTATAGTATAAAAACAATTCCAGACAAGACCAGAACGTGTGTCTTACTTTTTTTAGCTTCTTCCACCTTCCCCAGTTTGATGTAAAGGTATCGGGGGCTCTCGGGGCACAGTAAGAGCAGGAAGAACTGCAGGAGGGCAGCCACACCGGACAGACCGAGGAGCAGGGGCCACATCTCGTCGTTGCCCAGGAGGAAGTCTAGTCCGAGGACCTGGAATAATTGAGGCATGTTTGAATGGCTTATTTTGCACCCTAGAAAAAGAAAGTGATTGACCACTATGGCATTTCGAAGCAACAACCTGGAGGAAAACTAGAAGCAAATACCAATTCTCAGTCCTAACAATTTGATTTCTTTAGTTATGATGCACATTTACAAGGAGGGAATGAACAGATGGTGTAAAAATGTCATGAGCAAGACTTTGGCTTACAGGTGCTGTGGGACAAACCTCTGCAAGCCTGTTCCCCACTCTGGGGTGACTCAGTCCTCCTTGGGATGTGCCACCAGCAGGAGACCTGTGCCTGGCCAGAACCATTGCGTAAACAGCTCAGCAAATACACATATGCCAATGAAATGTTTTCTCCTCAGACCTTGCTCTCCTGGGTTTTTAGGGTATGGGTTTTTATGGGCATATGTGTCCTAAGCAGTCCCACAAAGGTGCAGAGCTTGGATGGAGGTCCACACAGTGTGGGATGCCCCAGCTGCCTGGCTGCTAACCAGCAGAGTCTGAGCACCAGGGCCGCAGCGCAGCGAGAGGCTCAGCAAATAGGCTGACTTGAGCTTTGCTTCAGTGTGTGATTATGGCGTTGAAAAAGATGTTCCAGAGGGGTTGTGAGTACTTGCAACTTTTTTCCTTCCACAATTTGCAAAGCATTTTTTGTGCTCCCGCAGCCAGTGAAGCTGGCAGGACCTACCTTGTGAGCTTTTTTCCCCCATGGTCTGTCCGTAGTCTTTGGCTAAGTCAGATATTAGATGAACTTTGTGGTTACGTTAAGTTTTTCTGGATGTGTTGGTTCTCAGTACATTTATATGTCAGCCTGTCATGTAGCTGGGACTCCTGCCATGGTGGGAAATGCTGATGGGGATGTTGGACTCCCTGCTTCTCTGATGAAGCCATTTTTGAGCACCTGAATATCAGGGATCTCATGTTCAGGATCCAGCCTGACTCTGATGAGATGCGTACAAAAACTTCACAGGGGAGGGGAGAAATTGTTTGCAGTAGTACTTTTTAGTTCATGAGAAGTCATGAAAAAGTCATAAGTCCTTAACAAAGTCATCTTTGTTAAGGACACCTCTGACTCAAGGTAGGAGTTTAAGCCCATTAGAGCAGATTGCTCACACTCTCCCTCAGTTTTGGAGTGACACCCCAGTCTATCACTGGGGTATCCCTAATCTCTGAAATACCCTCTCTGGACTTGTGCACTTTCCTTCTTACCTGGCTGATGAGGATACCTGTGACGATAGCAAGCTGGTGCAACGTTCCCAGCGCTCCTCGAAGGGCCGTGGGAGAGACCTCGCTGACGTACATGGGCACGAGTCCGGAGGAGAGCCCTGCACCAAGCATATGTGGGCATCACCTCTTCTAGACCACAGCTCAGCAACCAGCAGAAACCGCTTCCCGAACGGGAAAGGAGGATGGAGCCCATGTGCTGCATCCCACATCCCACCAAGTCCCTTGTGCCTGGCTGGGAACCACCCGCATCCTGCAAAGGTGCTCGGATATCCCCGGATTCAGAGCCCCGAGCCAGGAAGCCTTTACACTTGAACACCTACATATGAGCATGAAGCTGGGAGAAGTTATCACAGAGAAAAGAGCTTTATTAAAACTTGCCTTGAACCTTCAGAGTGGAGTATTGTATTTGCATACCAGTAATAGTGATCATGAGCTGTTATTTCTAAGCTAATTCTAATGTAATTCCATATTATTTGCCTACTATCTTATCCTCTCTATGTACAGTGCTGCTATACTATCTGCTAGATAGTACTGTTGTCTAGGGAACCTGTTAAACAGCATGGCTACTAACATACTGCAACAACAGCCACCACCAAGATCGAGCCTTGAGATACAGAGGAGGGACTCGCTCCTTTCTAGGATACGTAAAATAATCTGACTTCATGATAGAGCCAAACTAAATACTTCTGGGAAAGATCCTTGATTGAGAAGGACAGACATAGGAAGAAGAGGGAAACTCCCACCTGTGAAACCGCTTCTGAACTAAAAAAGAGATTAAAAAAATATAGGAAACTTTTAACTGCAGCCTTGGAGCACCCAGCACCCACCAAGGGGCTGGTTCGCAGTGCTTGACCCTGCTTGGACTTACCGCAGTACAGCCCCGTGACTGCTCTCCCAGCGATGATGAGCATGTGAGACGGCCCGAATTTCGCCAGCCCCATGAGGAGGTTCCCAGCGATGGAGAGGACGTTCACCACCAGCATGGCTTTCACCCTGCAAGGCAGCAGCAGCACAGCTTGTTCTGGCACCTCTCTCAGCCAAAGCAGCCATCGCAACGTACAATCAGAGCTACTAAGTGACTTAATCAGCACTACAGGTGAAAAAATAATGATCGTAGGCACTGAAAAATATCAGGCAGGGGTGCAATCACAGTAGCTAAAAGTATATTATACATCCTCTGCAAACTCCATTCAGATGCCCTCCTCTCCCTTTTGCCATGGAAAGAAAGGGGGGAATTCAGAACTTAGTCAAGGCTGCTCATCAGCTGCTTGTCTGAAGCACTAAAAGTTGCAATAAAACATCTGATTTATAATTGAGGATTTTAATAAGCCAGACCTCTGTGGTCGTTGGAACAGTATTTTGGAGGTTTGAGGGTTTTTTTTCATTAAATTGGGGAAAATAACACAAATTGTATTTCTACGGGGAGGAAATGGTTCAAGGGGAAAAATCAAACAAAAAGGCTTGGGCTGTGGCAGGCGACTCACAGCACACAAGGTCCTCTCACCTCCCCAGCTGGTCGCCGATCCACCCCACGGGGAAGGAGGAGACCATGCCGCCGACGGCAAACATGGAGACGGAGAGGGACCAGTACATGGTGAGGATGTGCGGGGAGGTGGCGAGGTCCTCGCCGTTGTCAGCTGAGGGTGTGAGCGTGCCCTCGGTGCCACCCCAGGGCTCCATGCTGGGGACGGTGCCATCCTCCCCAGAGGCGTTGGTGGCATGTCTGTCCAGGGGGGCAATGCCCAACACATGCCCGTAGTGGGCTTCTATCACCTGTGATGGGCAAAGAGGAAAAACGCCGTCAGCTCAAATCTATAAACACCTCCAACCCCTGTTTTGGGCTTTTTTCTGCCCCAGGACAAGCTTTGCATCACAGGCTCCACAGGGGTGAAATTTTGGGGTTCCCCACAGCTCCCAAGCACCCACACCCCCAGCAGGGAGGGACCACGAGGGCAGGCGCAGAGCATCCCCCCTCATCCAATGCTGCCTCCCGGGGATGGGGTGAGCATGGTGTCCGGATTCAGCACCTGCAGAGAGGTGCCATCCCTTGGTCTGGGCACAGGGACTGTGTTGCAGTGGGGATGGCACCATGATGTGCGGAGCCCCGTGCCTTTCACTGCGGGGGTGGCAGCAGGGGGCCCTCACTGTTGCCTTACCCTACTACCTTATCATGGGGGCTTTGTACTGCAGGAGATAGTGCCTGGGAAGGGACAGAGCCCTCCTGAGGGCTTCTGCAAGGGACAAACCAGCCATAGCTGCCCTGAAGCCCTCGTCCCTTGGCTGTGCATGGCTTGGGGGGCTTGGCTTACCTTCTGGGGGGCGTTAATGACACCCAGGCTGTAGCCGTACTGGAAGAAGCCCAATACCGCAGTGAAGACAGAGAGGACCAGTGTTCCCGTGAGGTGCTGGGGGAGGAAGCAGAGAACAGCCTCACCCCACTGTCCTAGCCCTGCCCAAACCTGGGGGGCTGCACCCCATCCCTGTCTCAAGGGACCCCGCTGCCCAGCTGGCCAGGACAGTGGCACCCAGGGATGCTGCTGCAGCAGCACAGGCACTTTGGCTGTCTCCAAAGGAGAAGGGAAAGCCCTTGGGGGCAGGCAGGATCAGGCCCCCGGGGAAGAATGGCGTTGCCCCACAAACAGCAATGTGTGCTGGGGGTCTCCCTGCTGCGCTGCCCGTCCCCGCCCCGGTACTCGCAGCGAGCGGGAGCTCTGCCTGGTACAGCAGCGCAGGCAGCAGCAGCAACGTGCCCTTCCCCATCCCCAGTGCACGGTCAGCACCACCGCTGAAGCAGAACAGCTAGGAAAAAATGACCAAAACGCTGTTTTTCACAGCAATGCTGTTTCAAGCATTATTTCCTTCCGTCACAGTTAAAATTATCTGATGAGCTGATGGAGCTCTTAAAAATAAAAAATAATCCCTTGACCCCTTTGCCCCTGTGCTCAGTACGCAGACATCAAAGAGCAATTAATTAGGGGAGGGGATTTTTTTTTTTTTGTTTTGGTCTTGGCAAGCAATAAATGCCATTGCTCAGTGCTGGGCTCCTGCAGAAATTCTAGTGCAAAAATACCACCGAGCCATGGTTACCTTCTCTGCTTGCATTTTGCTTTTCTTGTCCATCCCGCAGCTCCTCCGCTGTCCTCCCGGGAGCGGTCACTGTCCTGGGCTGCAGAGCGAGGTGAGAGCTTGGGCAGGGAAGGAGGGACAGCAGGGCTGGGATGGAGGCAGCAAAACTGGCTGGTGCTCCGAGAGATGGGACTATATCAACTCTGGAGTTAATGAGAAACCCAAGCCTTCCATGTGTTATTTGGCCACTGCTTGGCTCAGAGCAGCCACTACCAATCCCTGTATTTGGGGGGACAAACAAAACAACGGGAGACCTGCAAAGACATAGAGTGGACCTGGGAAATTGAAATGATCCAGCTGAAAGGCTGATTTGGGGCTGTCCCTCAGTTGAACAGTCTGATGTGACATGCCAGGGACTTGGGTACATGCTACAGCCTATTTCGAGATGTTCAACACCTTTCTTGGCTTCTGTGCTGGGTTTATGTGCTACATTACAAATCTCTTGCTGAATTAGCAAGAAGAAACCTTTCCAGCATATGTAGCAAAGAAGCTAGAAAATGACTAAGAGTGTTTTATTTAGATAGCACTTGGCAACTGCTTTAGAATATATTTATGATGTGAGTAATAGCACTTGGCATCTGCTTTAGAATATATTTATGATGTGAGTATATATAACATACACAGCCAAACATACATAAATACGGATGTATACAGGTCTCTCTCTCTCTATGTACATACATACCTGCACGCACACAGCCCCCTCAACACGTAGCTGTAATGCTAGTACACACCTGTACATATGCATCCCGAGCATTCAGAGGAGACGGCTGTATGTGTATGTGGAGATATAACACAGCAAAATTACCCAGAATATTACAATAACCTATGTTTTCGTTAAAAAGCCCACAATGGCCTGAATGCTGAGCCTTTCAGCACCACCAGCCGATTGCTGCGCTGTCAAATACTGCTGATGCTGCCAAATATTGCAGCCCTTTGGCTTGGCTCACTCGGTAGTCACGAACTTTGCACATCTGCAAAAGCTGGTCTGAGCTGGTCTCGCTCGGGCTTGGGCTTTGCTGTCCTTGACGTTGTCAGCGAGAGGAGCTGCAGGGCCAGGGTGGATGGCAGCATCCATAGCAGACATGCCAAAGTCTGAATCAGCCGAGAAGGTGATTAATGCTGATTAATGCCTTTACCTTCCAGATAAGCCCCCGATGGATCCAGCAGCCAAGTTACAGCGACTCTTTGGATGATGCTCTCAGTCAGCCAGGCTTCACATGGGCACAAAATGTACTTTCTACAGAGGAAGGGAAAAAAAAAAAAAAAAAAAAAAAAAAGAGGAGCGTAAGACCACTAATCTTTGCACTGGTCTCCTCCAGTAAAGTAAAACTTTAACTGGAGGAGAAAAGTTCATTGCATTAATGCAGGCATTGATTCCAGCCACAGCACCTGCATTCCCCTCTTGGGCTGGTGTAGCTGCAAGGGGGAGGGCCTCGAGGCTGAGCTTTTTGAAGTTTTCCCCAATATTTGTCCTTCCAGCTGAGATCTTTGTCCATCGTGTTTGTTTGCTTGCTGTGTGTGGATACCCAGGCATTTACAAGCACCGTTTCTTTGCATTGTGGTTAAATGCCTCCACAATGGGGGCTGGCAGGATTAGACAATTAACAGGCTGCTCAAGTTTGAATCAGAAAACAAATGAGAGCCCTGACCCAATATCCCAAATTGAAACCCTCAGGCACTGTGAAACTCCTGGCCAGGACCAATGTCCCCCTCCAGGATCCCCATCCTGTTGTGGGTCCCCGGCCAAGGGAGGATGATGCTTTTACCCCCCTACTCTTCCCAGCCTACTGGAGGCAGTCTGAGGGGGCAAAGGCCATCTACATACCGAAAGGAGAGAGCCAGGTGGCCTTTCCGTGGCTTGTAGCCTGTCGTGTCCTCCCCGCTGCTGCTTACAGAGCGGAACCCTCCCTTAATCCGGCTTCCCAGGGAGGGGGTGCGGAGTGGCTGGTGCAGCAGTGGGGAGGCATGGGTGAGCATCAGTCACCTCCCCAGGAGCAGCCCGGTGACTTCCATGGAAACCTTGGATGCCAAAGGCTGGAAGCCCCATGGCCACCAGCCTCCCTTGGCCAGGTCTGCTGGCAAAAGGCATGAAGTTATCCCAGGGCTCTCCCATCCCTTCCTGGCCCCTCTTAGCCTCCCTGCTGGGCTGGATGCTGCAAGCCAGTGCCCAGGGCTGCCTCGCCAGCTGGGCTGTAATACACTCCTCCAGAGCCTTGCCCCTGGGCAGTTTAAGCACATATTTAGGTCTCAGTGACACTAACGGATTCAGGCCCCTCTGTTTTTCCGAACGGGTGTCTGGATGTGGATGTGCCAGTTAGCAGAGGCCAGCTCGAGGCTGGTCCCAAGGCTCACGGATGGGAAAGGTCAGTGTGTAAATCTGCCTCCCGCTGCAGTCACTTCCCAAAGGGGCTGTCAGAGCATCACACCTTGACTGCTAGCTTGGAAAACTGAAGCACAACGCTCCTACATGCTAGAGCACCACACCCGACTCCACCAGGATGATCAGCCCGTCCATCTCTTTCATGTTTGACAGCTGGTTGTGGGACCGCAGGCTGTAGGATATAGGTTTCAACACAGCACAGCTCAGGAGCAATACTGACCCACCCCATGGCTGGCGAGCCATGCCAGGCAGCAGTTAAGTGATTTGACCAAGGGCACAGAGATCAAAAGGGCAAAGGGGAAATGGCAGCTGGCCCACGGGCATCTTCCTGGTGGGGCCAGCCTGGCCATCCTCATCTTCATTGCTAGGACCCCAGCTTTGCCAACCTGGAGCTTGTTTGTACTTTCTCTTGTCCACGTTCAGATGATCTTTGAATATGTCTGAGGGTAACAAGGGCATGTGTGTTTCATGCGGCTTGTAAACACAGGGCTTTCCTTGCCAGGGCAAACAGAGCACCTCAGCCAGATAGATTCATCCCACAGTTATCCAGGGAACGTGGTGTGATGCAGAGGTGAAACATGCAGATGACAGATGTGTCTCCACGTGCGTGGCTGAGCACCGCCGTGGGTCCAGGCAACTCTCAGCCTGAAGGCATCACTGCTGTTCCCAGGTAAAGCACTCTAGAAATACCAATTTCACTGTTTTCCGGACAGCAGCACACGCCGCACCCTTGTTAGTGCTTTGGGGGTGTGCTGTAGTGCCGCAGGGTTTTGTGGCTTTTCTCCAGGGCTCCTGGCAAGAAGCTGCTCCAAACTGCTCTCGTAGCTTCTCATTACCTGAGTGTGCAAAATAGGTAAATGCCAGGAATCCTAAACACAGCATCCAGCCCCTCAACCCTGGGTGACTGCACCTTGTAGCATGAATCTTAACGTTTTGTGATGGGCATCATTTACATTATTTGCAAACATTGCTTGCATTATTGCTAAGTATGTTACTTATTAATGAAGTGTAAGAACTATGTATAATGCTACTGTCATACAGAATTGCCGTGCTTATTGCCTACTATATGTCGCGTTTACTATAATTGGTGGTGTTACTAAATTTAATGCTATGTGATAAAAGCGATGGGTTAAAGTTTATGGTCGGGCTTTGCTTTTGAACAACTGAACATGCCATCACATCAGTGGAAGTAATTTAAAGACTCGATAAGGACAGTGAGGCTTTCTCTGTGGCTGGGGTAATTTGCACACCTGTTTTACTGCCTTTGGGTCATCCAGAGGCAGTTTTGATGTGATAAAAAAAGGAAAAAAGCAAAACGATGTTAAAAAAAAAAAGGAAAAGCAAAACATTAACCAAAACAAAAAGGAAAAAAAAGGAAGATCCAGACCATAAGGTTGTGGCTCTCCAGGTAAGAGCAGGCTGATGGGGCACATCAGAGGCTGGCACAAAAAGAACACGATATATGTTCATTTTTTTTCTATATATGCGCAGCAGCTGGGGCAGGCAGCAGTGCTGGGGTCACCCGCAGAACAGGGGCTTCAGGCTGACAAAACACATTGGAGAGGGAGAATTTGGTGCATTTACAGCACAGTTGTAAAGATCTCGGTGTGTTGGCCTTGTACCCTTCCAGCAAAAACTAGTGGCATTAAAGCAGGGGAGTTCAATGGGGCCCTTCCCACTCCCCTAGCTCTAGGTGGTGCAGCATCTGCCAGAAAAGAAAAATTGGGAAGCAAACCCAGCAAACATCTGCAGTAGTTCGCGACAGCCAAGATGGGAAGCAGCAGCTCTGCAGCAGGGCAGTAAACAGATGCCGCAGGGGTGCAGTGGTTGCAACAGGCATCCTATGCCTTGAACTGCATCCTTATTGCTGAGGACATCTCTGCTGGATCTCCTTAGAGGAGCCGTGTCCCCCAGGCAGGTGGCTTATCATCCTGGGCACAGGCACGGTATGGTATGGAGGTCCACCCCACACCTTCAGGAACAAGAAGATTCAGTCCCTGCTGCTGCTCACTGCTGGCCTATGTGATGCTCACGTTGGCCCCAGTTACGGAGCGTCACTGCACAAATTGTGCAGCAATGGACCTGCGTGGGCTCAGGTCGAGACAAGGAATTGCAGCACAGCAACGTCAGCTGTACCAGCAACCAGCCCAGCTCTGGGGCCGAGGCCAGGGTCACCTCAAGCATCCCCATTCTGTCCCAAAATACATATATGATCAACCCCAAAATCATCTCGCAACAAGAAAAATGCCATTTGATAATAATTCTGAAACAGGTTTGAAAACACATTCAGTTCCCGTAAGTAGCTGCTACAGCCTTACCTCTGAGCATCCTTTACCTTGGGAATGGTACCCAGCATCTCCCCGGTGTCCACAGCATGCTGGGGGGTAGCCCCGTGGCCAAGCACGGCCTCACGCCAGCTCTCGGGGCTTTTATTTCATTTACCGCGGAGGGTATGACTTGTCGCTGAAGTTCATGCAGTATTTCACAGCAACTCTGTAAATAATTGAATCTGCAACGGGCTCAAGTGACTCCTGCATGCACAGACGTTATTTCTCTCTTTCCTCCTCCAGCACTGCTCAGCTGAACGAGTAAGTTTCCTTTCCCGGGTAAAAACTCCCAGAAACAGGCTGTTAAAAAGAGCCCCAGGTTTTATTTCTTTAAACACTAAAATTAAGTAGCTTCTGACAGCATTGATCAACCACAAGCGTATTTTACTTACAACAAAAGACAAGCAAACCAAAGCTAGGAGTATTTCGAGGGGAAAGCATATCTCTATAATAATCATGGGTTGATTTTGTGGAAGAGCAGAAGTTTTCAGGTGGTGATGGTCCATCGAGACATCCCTCAGCCACTGCTCATTGCCGGGCAGCATCGCAGAGGACATGCCCTGTCCCCCTGCACTCATCCTGCCCAACATGCCCTGTCCCCCTGCACTCATCCTGCCCAAAACCACCGCTTTCCTGAGACCCTCCAGGCAAAGGGACTTGGAGCCCTGAAAAGCCGCTTTACCTCTGTGACCTGCTAATGGTTAACACCCCAGGTTTTATTTACAAAAACAGAAAAGGCATGGCTTAACGTTGAATTTTTGTGTTTTATTGGCACCAGAAACGCGTTTGCTCTATGTCCATGTACACACTCTGTAGACAAAGACTGTGTTAATACTGGTTTCTTACGCTTTTTGTTTCAAATGACTCTAAGATTTTAAAAAATACATTCACTAACTACCTTATGTTTAAACACAACGATTCCCTTCTATTTTGTCACTGTACCCAAAAACCCACAATAAAAAAAAAATAACCATCCAAAGCTGTGTATTTGTCACTTGAAGGGGAGTTAAAAAAAAAAAAAGTTATCAGTTTGCAGCATAACTTAATAAAAAGCTCTGGTTTTTATTTTATTCATATTTTAACCAGTGAAGAGCTGGTGGCAATCAGTGTCTGTGATGGGACTTGCATGGGGTTTTAACTCCACTATTGTGGTCTTATGGCTGGGGGTACACTCTGCAGGGCGCTTGGCCAGGCGCTGGGCAGGCTGCACTGGACCAGTGGGAAGGTGCCCGATGCCCGGTGGGTGAAGAAGGCACCTGCAAAGCGCCTCTTGCCCGTGCTCCTCTGGATGCCGCGTCCCGCTGGGAGACCCACAGCTGGCAATCCCTGCCAGTACCAAACCGTGATGCCCGGCCCGCGCGGGTACCGCTGCTGCACAGCCCTGCCCGCAGGATGCTTCAGGCGAGGGTGGCCCATCCCATCCCGTCCCCGCCACCCCGCATTGCCTCTTACCCTTGATAAAGATTCAAGTTTGACCAAGTCCTGTTGATTTAATCATTTTTTAATAAAGCCATCGTTACTGAGTACACCAAGATTGCCAGTTAAGCTCTCTATATGTCGCTGGAGGTAACAGCGCTGTGATCGACAGCGGAACGGGGAAAAAAAAAAAACCCAAACCAAAAAACAAACCCCAACCGAAACGAGGTAGGTTAAAACCAGCAACACAGACCTTGTTATGCGACACCCCAACACCACAGGCAGCCATGCTTGCAGCTACTGAGAAAGAAAACCCCAGATACGCACTGAAAACTGAAATCAACTGAGCAGAGTTTATAAGGACCACGATTCAACCTGAACTAAACACACACACACACACACGGTTCGGCACAGATGTTGTCTTTCACTGTATGTTGGGTAATTCCTAGGGAGTGGAGGGGGCGGAAAACGACTAGAGATTCAGACCCTTGGCCGAAGAAACCACACACATATATATATTTTTTAAGCTCTTTACAAGCCCAATCCAGCAACGCAGGGGATGGGCAGCTCGTTTCGTGGTCGTGGCCCTGCACCGGCTGCCTCTGCACGCCAGTGCCCGGCTCCGGGCTCGGGGGGGACGAACGCCCACAGCTCGCACCAGCTTCGGCATCGGGGTCTGGTGCCCGCGGCATCCCAGGAGCCATCTGCGGCCGCAAATCCCACCTCGGGGGCGCCCGGCTCCGGGCTCGGGGGGGACGAACGCCCACAGCTCGCACCAGCTTCGGCATCGGGGTCTGGTGCCCGCGGCATCCCAGGAGCCATCTGCGGCCGCAAATCCCACCTCGGGGGCGAGCGCGGGGCTCCTCCGACCGCTCCGCTGTCCT